TGAGCGGCGCGGCTCAGCTGGCAGGCAGGCGCAGCAGGCAGGCAGGCAGGCTGGCGCGGCAGTGCGCTAGTAAGGCAGGCGTGCGGGAAGCTTGGGTAGGGCAGATGCTCACCAAGGGCAGGAAGGGCAGGCGCTCACCGGGCGAGCAGGGCCGGCGCTCGGCGGCGACGGCGGGGCCACGACAGCGGCTGCAGGGCAGGGCCGCGTCAGTGGCAGGGTAGGGCCGCGACCGCGGCAGGACAGGGCCGCTACAGCTGCTCAGGGCGGGGCCGCGACAGTGGCAGGGCAGGGCCGCGTCGGCGGTAGGGCAGGGCCGCGACAGCGGCCTGGTGGGGCCGCGACAGCTGCAGGGCGGGGCCGCGACAGCGGCAGGGCGGGGCCGCGACGGCGGCAGGGGGCTCCGCGCAGCTGCTGCAGGGCGGGGCCGCGACTGTGACAGGGGGCTCCGCGGCAGCTGCTGCAGGGCGGGGCCGCGACGGCGGCAGGGGGCTCCGTGGCAGCTGCTGCAGGGCGGGGCCGCGACTGCGGCTGGGGGGTTCCGCGGCAGCTGCTGCAAGGCGGCGCCAGGGGGGGGGGGACGTGGCGACGAGCAGGGACGGCGCCCAGGGGGCGCCGCGACGAGCAGGGACGACGTCCCGGGGGCGCCGCGACGAGTAGGGGCGGCGTCCAGGGGGCGCCGCGACGAGTAGGGACGGTGTCCAGGGGGGCGCCGCGACGAGTACGGACGGCGCCCAGGGGGCGCCGCGACAAGCAGGGGCGACGCCGCGCGGGTCCCGCAAGGGCGTCGCGACGAGCAGAAGCGACGCGCGGCGCAGCAGGGCGGCACGCGGGTCGCAGGGGCAGCGCCCACGGGCTGCAGGGGCGACGCGCGGCTCGGCAGGTCGGCGCGCTGGCTGCAAAGGCAGCGCCCACTGGCTGCAGGGGTGACACGCGGCTCGGCAGGGCGGCGCGCGGGCTGCAGAGGCAGCGCCCACGGGCTGTAGGGGCAGGCACGGCTGTGGGGGCAGCACGGTCGCAGGGGCAGCACGCGGGCTGCAAGGGCAGCGTGGCTGCAGGGGCTGCGTAAAAAAAAAAAAAAAAAAAAAAAAAAAAAAAAAAAAAAAAATTAGGGCAGGGCGGAACGTTCGGTGGGCCCTAGGAACGATTCTGCTCTAATACCATGTCACAAGGTAGGAAACAAGAATGACTAGAAACAAGACAGTACAAGGTTTGTATAGGCAAAACCTAACAGTACTGTACCCCATAAGGAGTGCCCCACTACAGTCTACAATATGGTTCTGACAATTTTCTATGAAGAGGTTATTCCATCCTTCTTCAGGTTGAATGAGCTCGCTGCGGTGTTCCTCCTCTTCGTCTTGTTCAGCGGCTCGTGGGCGTCGTCTTGTCACCATGTTGGCGATCACGTTTCTGGGAACTCCCGTTTGAGATCCTTGTGCTTGTTGTTGCTGTTGGTGTTGTGTAGGAGGACGGGTAGCTTGTTGCTGAGGCTGAAAATGACGAGCGTCTTGTCGACCAACCCAATTGTTGTGGTGAGTGGAATTTGGGTGGCGATAGTTGGACCGGGACTTGCATCGGTCCGTTGAGTGTCCGAAGATTTTGCAATAATGGCGCCGTGGCTGTCGTCGCTCTTCACGGTTGTCTGTGTATTAGGCGAGGCGCTCTTGGCGCGGCGCGGAGCTTGTCCTGCTCGAATTCATGTCCTGCTGTTCAGTCAGGAGGGCGGCGCATAGCGCCGCTTTTGAGACAATTCCTCGTTGTCGGAGTAACGCTTTACAGGGCTTCCACTCAGGCCCGAGTCCTTGGAGGATGATGTTGACGAAGATCTCCTCCGAAATGGCGCTTCCATGCTTCGTAATCTGGTCACGAATGTTTCGACAGCGGTTGATATATGTGTTTACCTTTTCCCCGTGCCCCACCTTGGTTTCCATGAGTTGTTGCAGGAGCCTGCTGGAGGCGACTGAGTCCTTTGGCTGATAAACATCAACGAGGTGCTTCCAGGCTTTCAGGGCTGGAGCGGTGCTCTCTTTGTAGGAGCGGATGCCGAGTTGTTCCGCAGGCGCCATATTGCGTAGCAGCACACTGTACGCCATGAGGGACTCACTGTAGTACTGAGCCCTGGCGTCTTCGGTGTTTTCCACCGGTTTATCGTAGGAGCTGTCGAAGTAATGGTAGATCTGCGCTGTCTGTAGGACGAGCTCAAGCTCGAAACTCCATGTATAAATGTCTTTGCCGTCAAATGCGGCAACGATCTTGATTTTTGAAACACTGAGAAAGCGTGCTTGCGCAGAATTGATAGCTTCATCACTTGGACGGGGGGCGATTGTTGTTAATTTGACTGTGTCGAGGAAGAAGGTGTGCGCGGCGATATCACGGCTTTTTGCAGCCGGCTGTCCAGGTTGAACTGGTTGGGAAGAAGTTTCCGCATCACCTTTGCGCAATACTTGGAGATCTTTCTCCATAGTTGAGAGTCGCGAAAATAGCTGCTCGAGTGCGGGGCTACGCCCAAGATATACGGTACTCATGATGACGAATCCCGACAACCCGGTCCCACGGGCGCAGCAGTTAGCCGAAAGTTTACGAGCAGCCTAGACCCGAGCAACAGACGCCATAAAAAAAAAAAAAAAAAAAAAACAAAAAAAAACCATAATCGCTAAGCGCAACACCGATCGCCATAATCGCCCCATAACTTTTTAGCTCGACGACCTCGTATTCTCGATACCCATAACCTCCGCCTGCCCGTCACCCCTAAGCTACGCCCAAGATATTACGGGTCATTTCGTATCAGCCACATAATCACACCCACCTCCTCCTGCCCGCTGACTGGTACGTCAGCCCGTCATTCCACGTCAGCCCCATCCGCCCCTACGTCCCAACGAGTCAACTACCACGTAGCCGCCCGTCAAGCATGACATGCCCGCCAACCGAACCAATCATCAGGCCCGAAAAAAAATATTGAGCCACCGAGTTCGCGGCCCATGTGGAGCATGCCGCATTGAGTTCCCAAATCGCTGGAAAGACGGCACACCCACCGAGGACAATAGGCCCCCCCTGGATAAAATTAAGAACCACCCCGTCCTCACCGAGTACCCGCGCAACCGAAATTTCCACGACGTATAGGCACTTTCGCAAAAGGGCCTCCCTTGAGGAAGGGGATGGTGTAAGGATAATTCATTACTTTGAGCCCTTGCTTACTGCGTACACGACTGCTCCCGCAACAGTACCCTAATATTAATTATTTACCATCTCGCGACACTCGCCTCGACCACTATTCCCGCCACTGTTCACATCGCGACCCAACCTCATGGCTCGGCTGGTAACCCGCGCTCCGGTCCTCCGCCTCGACTATTCCCAACCTCGGAGCCAGGCCCGACGCGCACCCACATTCCGCTCGTATTTGTTACCGCGCTAGTCGCTATTTAAAATTCGCTCATGCCTTCGCTCATTATACTGTTGTTGCTCCGATAGTGCAATCTTAGTTTGCTTACTCAATTGCACCTGTAAAAGCTTGCTGTTCATGGAGCATCTACCAAAGAATATCAGTCACGTGTAACAGAATTCACACCACTTCCATCCACGAACGCCTCGCATGTATTTTTTTTGGAAAAGATCATACTGAGGCCGAATAGTGCCAGAGGGTTGATCGACCAGGGGCCGAGAGGCTCGGAACTAACCAAACGGCTGCGCAAAGAGGGATTAACCAGATGATCATCGTTTTGTGCACGCGTGTCATTTAGCGAGCCGAATCTACCAGGAATTCTAAGGGCATCAAACAAAATAAAACCCTTGGTGAACCTGGATGCATTTTAGGGATGGATCAACCCTAAAAACGGGAACCTTCATTGCATTTAGGGTTGATGCCTCTCGAGTCGCATACGTTTCCGAATGGGTTATGTATTTTTTCCCTGCGCATTTCCGATCAGGTGGGCGATATGTATCACCAAAAATATAACAAGCCATGTACTCACAATTTATCACGCTGAAGTTTACTTCCAGAAGAATGAGACGTGCTTGTTGTAGTAACTGACGGTCAGCACCCTCAACAGATACAAACGAACAATCAATTTGGTTCTTAAAGTAATATTCTTTTACTTACGGTTCGGCTTGTTCTCCAAGTCGTTTGGGCAGCTCCGGGTTAAATCCTACGGTTGGGATTTACCGGCCCTACTTTGGTCATCTCTCTGGCACTGTTCGGTCCCTATTTGATAATTTCCCTGTATTTTTCGCGAGGGCCTCGATCGTGCACAATTATGATCCCAGCAGACGCCCCGCAACTCCCGCTCGCAAGGGCGATAATTGCTGCACAGCTAAAACTGCTGTCTCAAATTCACTGACGGCGAATCAGCGGTGCTGGGCCAAGCGAGCCTATCGCTTGGGGTCCCGGCCATCCGCGTCAATCATAGGCAGGAGAGGGCGGCGAGGCGTTACGTTTCAAAGCCGAAGCATTTGCGAGACTGGAATCGCGGAGAGCATCCACCGCCGTGCTTTGCGGCGAGCGGCTCGAGCAAATGGCGCCAAATGATGGTGCAGCGAGCGACGATTATTCAACTTTCCAGGGGGGCCTGCGGTTGCGGCGACGGGCACAGCAGGCCCGTGCGTCCATAGGCATCCATCTCACGCGTGTTGTGCGTATGCTCAGAATACTGCGAACCGCTTTCGTGGCTAGTAGTCCTCGCGAGTCCTCGCTTCCGCTCTCTTTCGCGTTCCTCTCTTGCTTCATTATTCCCGCTTACATGCTTCGTCGCACCGATTCTTCACGAAACAACACGCGAATCACACAAGAGCCGCGGCACCTTATTCGGCGACAACAACACGGTGGAGAAACTCGGCGCGAAGCTGCGGTCTCCTTGTGGCGAGCAATCAGTCCTTGCGACACAGCGTCAAGAGCTTCAGGAGCTGGAAGAGCTTCAGAGTAGCAGGCGCACTGAAGGGTCAGCCCCACCGCCTGGCACTCCTGCATCCGCGCTGCTCTCCGTCGCAACGGCCCGTGACATCGACCCGCCATGCTGCGCCCATGGAGCGGCGGCGGCGGCGGCGGCGTGGGTGGCACGAGGGGCGTGCCGTGGGCGCGGGTGGCGGTGGTAGTGCTGGTGTGGCTGGGCGTGGCGATGCAAGTGTCGCTCGCTGCGCCCACCACCATCAACGACGCCGACGGTGCGCTCTTCTCCCCTCGCTCCCCCTCTCCCTCCCTCTCTCGCTCTCCGCCTCTCGCTCCCCTCCCCCTCCCCCTCCGACTCTCTCTCTCCGCCTCTCGCTCCCCCTTCCGCTCCCTCTCCCGCATCCCCTCCCCGCTCGTGCTCCCTTCCATTCCATTCCTCGCACCTCAGAACGACCTGGGCACGGCCCACCTTCCTGTGGCGCGTATGGAACCGCCGTAGCCATGTGCCATGAAGCTGCACGATGTCTCATGGTGCGTGCTGTGCTGTGCTGTGCTGTGCTGTGCTGTGCTGTGTGGCTGGGTGGTGCGTGCAGGCGGTGTGCTGCAGGAGTGCCAGGCGGCATGGGGAGTGACGATGGACGGGTGGAAGGCCGGCAGCGACTGCGATCTGGCCGCGCACACGCTCGAGTGCAGCGCCGAGGGCAGGGTGCTGGGCATGTGAGTCGCCTAGCGCTCTTTCAGGCGTCTCACTGCCAGAGTGCAACGGGGGCGGCTGAGGGCAGGGTCCTGGGTACGGGAGTGAGGCGCCGTGCTGCGCACTGGGAGGCGCCCCCACTGTCAAGTCCACTACGAGCCCGACACGAGCCGTCCTAGCTCCCCCCCCTCTCACAACCGCCTTCCATGCTGCTCTCTCCACTTCCCCCCACAAGCCAACCCCCCACGTCACCTCACTGTTCTCACGCATCCTCAATCCCCGCCCTCGCCTTCCCCCATGCGCGCATCATCGATCGGCTGGTCAGCGCGCCCCAAGCCACCTTCATGCGCGCTGCATGTTCTTCCTTTCAATTCGTTTCGCATGAAGTGCACTGCACTCCGATTTCCAACATTTCCACGTGCTAATTCCCAAGTTGCTTGCAGCCCCATACGTACCGTTCCAACCAAGGGCACCAGCATCGCACTCTCATGCGGCATGTGTTATTCGTCTCCACATGCCAACTCTCCCCCATTCCCTTTTTAACCCCCCCTCCCCCCCCCCCCTTGTCCTCCACTCGTCCCCGGGCCATGCGGCATGGAGAGCAGCAACATGCGCAACAGGAACCTCACAGGGTCGCTGCCAGCGTCCATCGGCAACCTTGCTGACCTCACCATGCTGTACGCCCCTGCACGCCACTGCTTTCCCGTTCACCCCTCTGCTACGCCCCTGCACTCCACTGCTTTCCCCTGCACCCTTTTGCTTCGCCCCTGCACCCTTATCCTCCCCGTCCTTGACTCTTCAACGCTCAACCCTTCACGTATCCGCTCCCATCCTGTTTTATCCTTCTGTCCCACCCTCACCTCCTCTCTTCCCTATTCTCCTCTTCTCCCGTTTCTCACCTCTCTCCCTGTGTCGGCCGATGTGCAGCGATATAAGCCGCAACAACATCAGTGGGCCCATCCCTGACTCCATCAGTCAGCTCAAGGCTCTCGCTTACTTGTCAGTGCTGGAGCAGGCGTGGGTGGGAACGGGATGGGGGGAGTACAGGGAAGGGGTGGGGGAGGAGAGGAAGGGGATGGTCATGCGGCGTCCACTGTTGAAAGCGTGAGATACGATAGGCCAGCAGAGAGCTGCACACAACATGCCATACCATACCATGCCATGCCATACCATACAACCTGTCCCTTTCGCCACCACAAGGCGTGCATGCTGGCATTCGTCGCCCCATGTTGTTATAGCCCCCACACAATTCTCGCTTGCAACCCTCGCTCTTGCCCGCTTCCGCTCAACCCTCCCCGCCCTCCCTGCCTGCCCCATCCCCACCCCTCCCCGTCTTTCCCTGCCCCTCCCACGGACCTGGCACACACCACACCACGCCCAACCACGCCACACCACGCCACACCAGGAACATGGCGTACAACCAGCTAAGCGGACCCATCCCCACTGGCGTAGGCCAGCTGCTCAAGCTCTCTGTCATGTCAGTCTCTACCTCCCTCTCCCACTCCCTTCCACTCCTTCAATCAACTCATCTCAATTCCTTCCTCTCCCTTCGCACCCGTTTCCACCCCTTTCCCACTCCTTCCTACTCCTTCCCACACACTCCTACTCCCTCCCACTCCCCTCCTTCCCTCCCACTCCGTCCCTCCCGCTCCTCACTCCCTCACTCCTCGCTCCTTCCCCTGCCCTCCTAGCCCCCGTGGCACCCAGCCCTCCTTAAGCATGCCCTCGTGCCTGCCCATGTGCGTGCGCGCACCCAACCAGCTCAGCAGCAGCATTGAAGTTTAAGGTGCTCAATGCACGACCGCTGAACCCTGCCCGTCACCCCCTTGCCTTGCCTTTCCACCTCTCTGCCCCTGTGCCCCTGTGCTCCTCTGCTCCCGTGCCTCTTGCCCCTGTGTGTGTGTGTACATGGCAGGCGGGTGCGGCACAATCAGCTCAACGGCACCATCCCTGACTGCATCTCCCACTGCTCGCTGCTCCAATCGCTGTCAGTCACACGCCATGCCATGCCAGGCGCCCACCTCCTCCTCGCACTCACTCGCAAAGCGACCCAGTCCATTCGCCTATCGCGTACACTAAGTTCCAATCGATCGGGGCTCCGCACCACTTTACTGTTTGACGCGTTTCCACGCGCCCCCTCGCTCAATTTCTCCCCCCGTCCTCTCCTCATGCCACTCCTTCCCTCCCTCCATCCCCTGTCTGTCCCCACTGCGCCCGCGCCTGCCTCCCTGCACTGCACCCGCTGTCTCCCTCAATCCTCTGGCAGGCACGTGAGCATCAACCAGCTCACCGGCTCGCTTCCAGAAACCCTAGGCCAGCTCTCCAAGCTCAAGAAACTGTGCGCCCCTACGTGCCCTCTCGCCTCCTCCTCGTCCTACCCCCTCTTCCCCCCCGTCTCTCTCTGTCTCCCGTCATCCTCCTCTGACGCCCTCCCCCTCTTCCCCCCCGTCTCTCTTTGCCAGTGGGTCATTCAGTCTCCAGTACCACCCACAGTTAATCTCTCTTCCCACCACGCACTCCAACCAAACCATGGTTATTTCACTCCATATTATCCCTTCCAACCACCACCTCCCGCTCGTTCCCACTGTCTGCCCCACTCTACTCGCCCTGTCTGCCCCACTCTACTCGCCCTGTCTGCCCCACTCTACTCGCCCTGTCTGCCCCACTCTACTCGCCCTGTCTGCCCCACTCTACTCGCCCTGTCTGCCCCACTCTACTCGCCCTGTCTGCCCCACTCTACTCGCCCTGTCTGCCCCACTCTACTTGCCCTGTCTGCCCCACTCTACTTGCCCTGTCTGCCCCACTCTACTTGCCCTTGATTGCCCTTCACTCCGCTCCTCTCACCTGTGTCTCCCCCGGGCGTGCATGTGTGCTGTGCTGTGCGCATGGGAGCAGGTGGGCGCACAACAACAGCCTCACAGGCGGCATTCCCCAGTCCCTCAGCCAACTCTCGTTCCTGCAAGACCTGTACGCACACCACCGCACCACAGCACCACAGCACCACAGCACCACAGCACCACCGCACCACCGCACCACAGCACCACAGCACCACAGCACCACAGCACCACAGCACCACAGCACCACCGCACCACCGCACCACAGCACCACAGCACCACAGCACCACAGCACCGCCGCACCACAGCACCACAGCACCACAGCACCACAGCACCACCGCACCACAGCACCACAGCACCACAGCACCACCGCACCACAGCACCACAGCAGCGCCACAGCACCACACTTCCCATCCGCACTCGCCCAATTCATTCATGCCTGTGTGTGTGCTGTGCGCTTGCCCTCTAAACGCCACTGTGCTCAATGCTGTGGCTTATCATATCCTCGCTTTCTCCTCTCCTCTTTCAAACCCCCTCTCCTGAACCCATTCTTCTCCTGCTAACCCCATCCCACTTCTTCTCCCCTTCCTCTCCCGCACCACTGGGCCTCTCGTCACTGTGCGGCAGGAATCTGGGCAACAACAACCTCACGGGCACCATCCCTGCACCGGTCTTCACGCTCACCATGCTCACATCGCTGTCAGTGCCTCTCTGCTTCATGAGCTTTTCTTTCTCTGTGGGGTGTGTGCAGGTTTGTGTATGCGAGCGCTTTGGGGTGTGTGCGAGTGTGTGGGTGTGTGTGGGTGCAATGATGTGTGGGTGTGTGTGGGTGCAATGATGTGTGGGTGTGGCCAAGCAAGCCCATCTGCAAGGCCATGCTGGTTCTTTTGACTGCTTCTCCCTCTCCCACCACACACCATGTTCTTCTCCTCCTCCCTCCTCCCCCCACTCACTGCCTCCCCACCTCGCTGCCTGCCGTCTCCCCTGTCCCCACGCCGTCTCCCATGCATGGGAGCATGTCGCTGGACAACACCCCCCCCCTCACCCCCCCCCTTCCTCACTGCGTGCCCGTCTCACGGCGTGCCACACGTGCGTGCGTGCATGGCATGGGAGCAGGTCGCTGGACAACAACAACCTCACGGGCTCGCTGCCAGACGCCCTCACGCAGCTGCAAGAGATCAAGAAACTGTGAGGAAGAGGGCGCCAGGGCCACACACATTCTTTTATCTTCCATAGTAAAACGGCTCGTGAGAGATAGTTAGCCGTGAGTTCTATCCTCCCTCTCCTTAGATCATTCGTTCAGCTGTTCTTTCCATAATCATTTCCAAGAACCACTACTAAAAGGCAGCATTTTCTCCCACTTCACTATCCATTATGCACTCTTCCTTCTCCCCCCTCCGCCCTCCCACGCCCATCGCACGCGCAGCAACCTAGGGGGAAACCATTTAGAGGGCACCATTCCAAATGCCATCAATAAACTCACCAACCTTGAAGATCTGTGAGTCAGCACAGGCTAGACGTGAGTCAGCAACACTTGAATCCACGCTAGCAGCATCCACCTCTAACATGTGCTTAGATAACACCACACTCCCTTGCTTCCCCTCCTCGCCTCTCTGCCTTGCGTGTTTCGCTGCCCTTCGTATCACAACCTGCCCATGGGCTGTGAGCAGGGAGTTGGATCACAACGAGCTGCAGGGCTCCATCCCCACATCCATAGCGCGCCTGCAAGACCTCAGCCTCCTGTCAGTCGCCCTGCCATGCCATGCCATGCCATGCCATGCCATGCCATGCCATGCCATGCCATGCCATGCCATGCCATGCCATGCCATGCCATGCCATGCCATGCCATGTCATGCCATGTCATGCCATGCCATGCCAAGCCCTGCCATACCGTGCCGTGCCGTGCTGTGCCGTGCCGTGCTGTGCCAAGCCATGTGTGTGAGCATGCCGTGTCATGGCATGTTGATCCATGCCATTCCATGCTACCACACATTGATGCATGCCGATTGCAGCTTTTCCTCCCTCCATCCCTCGCCCCCTCCCTCCTCCCTCTCGTCCCCTTTCCCTCATCCTAAGCCCCTCCTCTCAATCTCCTCCTGCACTCCGCCACGCCGCCACCACAGCAACCTGGCGAGCAACAAGCTCACGGGCAACATTCCCACCAAATTTGGCACCCTCAAGTCACTCAAGTACTTGTAAGACCCCCTCTCTCATGCCACACCATGCTGCTGCACTCTTCCGCACCCTGGGCCCCTCGCACTCTCTCATGCGGATGTCATGAACCCCCAAGCTGCGGTGTGACCTCTCATTCCGTTCCGTTCCACACCATCTCACCATCCCATCCCCGCTCGCTCCCAGGCAGCTGTCCAGCAACCGTCTAGAGGGGGCCATCCCCCCCGCTATTGCTGCCTGCACCGCACTCAAGTCACTGTGAGCCTCTCCTCACACCCCACCGGTCCCCCCCTTTACACATTCTCCCCCATTGCTGCCTGCACTGCACTCTAAGTCATTGTCAGCCCTCTAACTCAATTCCCACCACCCCCCCCCTTCCCCCACCCCTTTCATCCCTCTCCTCCCTGACCCCCATGCCTTGTGCCCCGTGCGCCCCGTGCCCCATCTGTTAGTATATATCCTATGATGTTATAGTCGTGCTAGTGTTACACCCAATTCTGGGTGTACACTTTGTTCGAAGCGCCCCGACCACTTTGGTTTGGAGCACCCCAACCCCTACGCCACCTTTGCTGGCCCTTGTCAACCAATTATTGGTCCGCCAATAATTGGTGCCTCGCCCCAACCATTATTGGGTAACCAACAATGTTGGCCAACCAATAATTCTGGGAGCGCACCTCCTAGTTTCCTCGCTTTTCGTTCTCCTATGTAAGCCCAACGTTTTCCTTAATCAACTCTTGAGTTCACCTCTCATCCCAACTATGGGATTCTCACACCATCCCGCCTCCCTCCTACCCCCTCTGGTGCGTGCGTGCTGCCCCCTGCCGCGTGCGTGCAGGGCGGTGAGCAGCAACCAGCTGAGCGGGTCCATCCCACAGGGGCTCCTCTCCCTCGCACTGCTCAGACAACTGTCAGTCGCGCTCCCCCCGTGCCCACCTGCCCCTGTGTTGCCCCTGTGCTGCCCCTGTGCTGCCCCTGTGCTGCCCCTGTGCTTGTCATCGCGCATCCACCTACCTAACCATCCATTCATACACGCGTCAATTCTTTCAACCCAACCTCATTCCCGCCTCCTCTCCTCTGCCTCTTTCTCTGCCTGTTCCTCTGCCTCCTCTCCTCTTCCTCTCCCTCCTCCACTGCCTCCTCGCCCTGTCCCCTTGCCCCGGTGCACGGCAGGGCGCTAGACAACAACAGTCTGAGCGGGTCCATCCCATCGGGCCTCAGCAGACTCACCAGCCTCAGGACGCTGTGAGCCGCTGCTCTCACTTACACGCACACGCACACAAACACACACGCACACGCACACACACACGCACACACACACACACACGCACACACACACGCACACGCACACAAACACACACACGCACACACACACGCACACGCACACAAACACACACGCACACAAATACACACGCACACGCACACGCACACAAACACACACGCACACACACACGCACACACACACGCACACACACACGCACACACACGCACACGCACACAAACACACACGCACACAAACACACACGCACACAAACACACACGCACACAAACACACACGCACACGCACACACACACGCACACACACACGCACACGCACACAAACACACACGCACACAAACACACACGCACACGCACACGCACACAAACACACACGCACACACACACGCACACACACACACACACGCACACACACACGCACACACACACGCACACGCACACAAACACACACGCACACAAACACACACGCACACAAACACACACGCACACAAACACACACGCACACAAACACACACGCACACAAATACACACACACACACACGCACATGCATACACACACACACAAGCACACAAAAACACACGCACACGCACACAAACACACACGCACACGCACACACACGCACACACACACACACAGTGCAGCATGTACATGCAGGGAGTGTGCAGGTGAAGTGTATGACGTGGTATACACACACTCAACCTTCTGCACGCTGTCAATCACCCTCTCCATTTCCCTTTCTCTTCTCCTCTTTCGCCGTCTTCTCCCTTCTCCCCATCCCCTCCCCTCCCCTTTTCTCTCATTCTCTCCCCTCCCCGCCTCTCATCGCCCTCTCGCCCCGCGCACCACCACGGCAGATCGCTGGCAGGCAACAGCATCTCGGGCCCTCTCCTGCCTGGCCTCGCGTCACTCAAGCGCCTGGAAACGCTGTGAGCCACCCACCCACCCACGACACCACTTTCCACAGCTTCTCAAATACCATTGTTGCTTGCAGTTTTGCCCGTCCCTCTCGTGGGCTCTGGCAGCCTGACATGCTAGGAGCACCCGCATTGCCACGGACCAGCGCTTCCCCTTCTCGTGCTCTCCCACTCACTGCTCTCCCACTCACTGCTCTCCCACTCACTGCTCTCCCACTCACTGCTCTCCCACTCACTGCTCTCCCACTCACTGCTCTCCCACTCACTGCTCTCCCACTCACTGCTCTCCTGCTCACTGCTCCCTTGCTCTGGTCCTTTGCCCTTCTCCCCTGCTCTACCCGTGTGCTCTGCTCATTTGCAACCATCCACGCTTCCCCTTCCCCCCAACTCTCCCCCCCCTCCCTTCCCCCCCTTCCACAGTTACTTAAACCAAACGCAGCTCACAGGGTACCTCCCTCCCGACCTGGGCAGCCTCGAGTTCCTCGAAAATTTGTATGCATCCTTCCCCACCACACTTAACCGCACCCAACTGCACCCCACCCACCTCACCCGACCCCACCCTTTCCAGATAGCTTCTTCTACTCTGATAGCCGTGTGCTTGATAGGAGTCTAATCCATAACTAATTCGTACTCATCCGACCCCACACTTTTCAGATAGAATATCACTCGCCTCGGGTACACATAACTAGTTCGTACTTCCTAGGCGTGTCATTCTCACAGTTCAAACCCTCCGGAGTATGCTTTGAAAGCTCTACACTTCCCCTTCCATTCCTCCCCTCCTTCCCCCCCTCCTCTCTTGCCACCCCATCCTCCTCTCCAATCTCCCCTTCTCCGCCCATCTGACCCTCCTCGCCCCCCTCGCCCTCCGCTTCGCCCCTGTCGCCTCTGCCCGCCTCCCATATGCACACACTCCCGCAGACGTGCCCTCTCCCCTCTCCCCCCTGCCCCCCCCCCCCCCCCCTCTCCATGTTTCCCCCCATGTTCCCCCATTCCTGTTCCCCCCCCATGTCCCCCCCCTTCCTGGTCGCCGCTCACCCCCCAGGAGCACGGCCAACACGTCGCTGTCGTGCCCGGCGTCGTCCTCCTCGTGTGTCTCGCCGCTCTCCAACGCCTCGCGCTTCTGCCACCTCTGCCCCCACTACTGCTCCGCCTGCCTTGCTCGTACGCACGGGTCGGGGACGCAAGTGCAAGTACAAGGGGAAGGGGGAAAGGGGAGGGAATTGGGAGGTTGGTCAGGAGGAGTGCTTGTGGGGGGTACAAGGGAACAAACAGTGAGGCTAGAGGGGAAGGGGGGGTGTGGAGGGGGGCGAGAGAGAGAGGATGAGATAGATGCATTTGCGATTAATGCCTTTGGCTTTGGCTTGTGTGCAACAGGCATCATGAGGTAGAGGTGTTGTGTGCTGCGTTAGGCGCCTTGTCTTGGCGTGACAGTGCGAGCACAAGCTGCTGCTGCTGCTGCTGCTGCTGCTGAAACTGCTGAAAGTGCTGCATGCCCTACCCCTGAACACCTAACCCCCACCCCCCTGCCCTGCTCACCCCCCATCACCATGCAGGCGCACCAGTGGCGCGCACAGTGGCCATCGCCGTGGGGGTGTCACTGGCCGTGCTGCTGCTGCTGGGCGCGCTGGGTGGGTGGTTCATCTACCACCGCCTCAAGAAGCGCAGAGGCATGGGCGCGTCCGCTCGAGGTCCGTGCATGCCTGGGGATAGAGGGGCGTGTGGGCGAGGGGGAGGGCGAGTGTGGAGGTGTTCATATAGTTCTCCATCTTACACAAGAAAGCGGAGAGGGGAAAACCGGAGGCAAGGGAGAGATGGTTTAGAGGAGAGGGGGAGAGAGGGGAAGGAGAGGTGTCTTTTTCATGCTCCCCTTGCTTGCCCTCGAATCCCCCCTCCGTCGCTCTCTCCCCTTTTTACTGTGCAAACCGCCGATGCATGTGTGGAGGAGTACACCCCCTCCCTCCATCAAAAGCTCTCCACCCAACTCCCAATCACTCCCTACCTGCTGCCATTGCAAAAATCAAAACCAGCGCCTCTCCCCCACCCTTTTCCCCCTCTTCCCCTCTTCGTCCCCACCTCCCCCCCCCCTCCTCCGCCAGTGCAAAGCGTGGAGGCATTTGTGGAGTACTCGTTAGCCGAGGTGAAGAAGGCCACCAACAACTGGGCGCCCGACAACCGGCTGGGTGCGGGGGGCTTCGGCGACGTGTACCAGGGCGTGAACCCGCGGGACGGCAGCACACGGTGGGCGGTGAAGCGCGGGCGCGTGGTGACAGAGGACTTTGACACGGAGGTGCGGCAGATGGCCACCAAGCACCACCCGCACCTGGTGCGCCTGCTGGGGTACTGCGACGAGGCGGACAAGGAGCAGCAGGAGCAGATCCTCATCTATGAGTTCGTGCCCAACGGCGACCTCGACCACTGGATCGGTCCCAGTGAGTGGGGGCTCTCACAGATACTGGGGGAGGGGGGGTGCAGTGAGTGGTGGCATTGAGAGATGCTGGTGGGGGGGTAGGGCGCAGTGAGTGCCAACAGTGCCCGGCAGTTGTTTCAGTCATTCGTGAGGATTGCATGTGAGCGTGCTCAGGTTATGCTGTGCGCTCATGTGGCTACAGAGACCAGGAAGGGGCCTCTGGAGAGGTCCCAGTGAATGAGTGGGGATGACAAGGACGGGTCTTGGTTGACTTGGCGTTATCGCTTTGGCAGTTGCTGCTGTTGAGTGTGAATGTAACTTGCATCTGGTGCTGCTTGCCCGTCTCATGCTCGTTTCGCCTCCCCTCTCCTACTCTGTCACTGCCGGCATGTATGCATGGGTGTGTGTGGATGCATGTGCGTGCATGTACACGTGCATGTGTGTGCAATGCCGCGTGTGCGCATCATTACAGAGGCGGCAGGCTCGCTGACGATACGGCAGCGGGCGGACATTCTGATAGGAGCAGCGAGGGGCTTTGAGTACATGCACAGCTTCAACATCGTGCATCGGGACATCAAGCCCGCTAACATCCTCATCACCAACGACATGCAGGCACGCTGCCTCCCGTGCTCCTCCCTTGCTGCCTCGTCCCCTGCCTTGTCCCCTGCATGCATGCTTTTCTTTCTATTTCCTCTCCACTTTGTCCTCTGCAGATGGGGGATACAGCAAAGGCATCACCTGCTATCTTCCTCCAAGCCCTCCATGCCCTCTTGTCCATGTCCCATGGACCTCCCCTCCACACTTCAATCACCATCTTACCGCCTTTTCCCTCTACACCACCCCCATGTTCCTGCATCCTTTCCCCTTTCCTCTTCTCTCTCTTCCTGCCACCGTCTCCCCCTCTCACCCCCACCATCCCACCACTCCACCACGCCACCACGCTACCACACCACCATCTGTGTCGTGCGTACAGGCGAAGATAGCGGACTTTGGGCTGGTGAGGCAGGAGGAGGGGCCGGGGAGTCTGTCGGCGACAAGGGTGATGGGCACGCCGGGCTATGTGGACCCCGCATACCTGCTGTCTCAGAAGGCCACCACTGCCACTGACGTCTACAGGTGCGTGTGCTCTTGCCGTGGCCGTGCGCTGCTGCTGTGTGGGTGCGCTGCTGTGCCGCTGATGGATAGTTGTGTCGTGCTGCTGGTGTGGGCAGCTGAATGCTAATGTTTGTTGACATGCACCTGTCCTCTTGCATGGCACCATGCCTTTCTGCCCCGTCCAAGGTCCTTGGAAGGCTCACCCTGCTGCGTGCCACTAGTGCTCTTCTTGCCCCATGTCTTTCTGCCTCTTCTTTCTCTTGTGCCGCCACATCTATGGTCCACTCACTCGCTCCTTTTCCTATCTCACCTCTCTCTCCGTCACTAGCGCCCCTGAGCCCCTCGCGCACTCCTTTGTCAAGCTCATTGTCCCTGCCTGCCTTTCATTCCCTCCGCCCTCGTTTCCCTCCCTCCACCTACCCCGTTCCACCTCCTCCCCCCGCGCGTGCACGGCGTGCACAGCTTTGGAGTGCTCATCCTGGTGATGCTCACGGGGCGGGATGTGGTGGAGTCCGCACAGAAGAAGTTCACGCACCTGCGCGACCTCGTATGTGCACCCACCTTCAACTGTCCACCATGTGGTGCCTCCACACTCGTCGCACCCCTGCCACGTCGCACTTCCCACCACCTTCATTAGCGAATGTGCTCAACATGTTCAGTATGCACTCAACATGTTCAGTATGCACTCAACATGTTCAGTATGCACTCAACATGTTCAGTATGCACTCAACATGTTCAGTATGCACTCAACATGTTCAGTATGCACTCAACATGTTCAGTATGCACTCAACATGTTCAGTATGCACTCAACATGTTCAGTATGCACTCAACATGTTCAGTATGCAACATGTTCAGTATGCACTCAACATGTTCAGTATGCACTCAACATGTTCAGTATGCACTCAACATGTTCAGTATGCACTCAACATGTTCAGTATGCACTCAACATGTTCAGTATGCACTCAACATGTTCAGTATGCACTCAACATGTTCAGTATGCACTCAACATGTTCAGTATGCACTCAACATGTTCAGTATGCACTCAACATGTTCAGTATGCACTCAACATGTTCAGTATGCACTCAACATGTTCAGTATGCACTCAACATGTTCAGTATGCACTCAACATGTTCAGTATGCACTCAACATGTTCAGTATGCACTCAACATGTTCAGTATGCACTCAACATGTTCAGTATGCACTCAACATGTTCAGTATGCACTCAACATGTTCAGTATGCACTCAACATGTTCAGTATGCACTCAACATGTTCAGTATGCACTCAACATGTTCAGTATGCACTCAACATGTTCAGTATGCACTCAACATGTTCAGTATGCACTCAACATGTTCAGTATGCACTCAACATGTTCAGTATGCACTCAACATGTTCAGTATGCACTCAACATGTTCAGTATGCACTCAACATGTTCAGTATGCACTCAACATGTTCAGTATGCACTCAACATGTTCAGTATGCACTCAACATGTTCAGTATGCACTCAACATGTTCAGTATGCACTCAACATGTTCAGTATGCACTCAACATGTTCAGTATGCACTCAACATGTTCAGTATGCACTCAACATGTTCAGTATGCACTCAACATGTTCAGTATGCACTCAACATGTTCAGTATGCACTCAACATGTTCAGTATGCACTCAACATGTTCAGTATGCACTCAACATGTTCAGTATGCACTCAACATGTTCAGTATGCACTCAACATGTTCAGTATGCACTCAACATGTTCAGTATGCACTCAACATGTTCAGTATGCACTCAACATGTTCAGTATGCACTCAACATGTTCAGTATGCACTCAACATGTTCAGTATGCACTCAACATGTTCAGTATGCACTCAACATGTTCAGTATGCACTCAACATGTTCAGTATGCACTCAACATGTTCAGTATGCACTCAACATGTTCAGTATGCACTCAACATGTTCAGTATGCACTCAACATGTTCAGTATGCACTCAACATGTTCAGTATGCACTCAACATGTTCAGTATGCACTCAACATGTTCAGTATGCACTCAACATGTTCAGTATGCACTCAACATGTTCAGTATGCACTCAACATGTTCAGTATGCACTCAACATGTTCAGTATGCACTCAACATGTTCAGTATGCACTCAACATGTTCAGTATGCACTCAACATGTTCAGTATGCACTCAACATGTTCAGTATGCACTCAACATGTTCAGTATGCACTCAACATGTTCAGTATGCACTCAACATGTTCAGTATGCACTCAACATGTTCAGTATGCACTCAACATGTTCAGTATGCACTCAACATGTTCAGTATGCACTCAACATGTTCAGTATGCACTCAACATGTTCAGTATGCACTCAACATGTTCAGTATGCACTCAACATGTTCAGTATGCAGTCAACATGTTCAGTATGCACTCAACATGTTCAGTATGCACTCAACATGTTCAGTATGCACTCAACATGTTCAGTATGCACTCAACATGTTCAGTATGCACTCAACATGTTCAGTATGCACTCAACATGTTCAGTATGCACTCAACATGTTCAGTATGCACTCAACATGTTCAGTATGCACTCAACATGTTCAGTATGCACTCAACATGTTCAGTATGCACTCAACATGTTCAGTATGCACTCAACATGTTCAGTATGCACTCAACATGTTCAGTATGCACTCAACATGTTCAGTATGCACTCAACATGTTCAGTATGCACTCAACATGTTCAGTATGCACTCAACATGTTCAGTATGCACTCAACATGTTCAGTATGCACTCAACATGTTCAGTATGCACTCAACATGTTCAGTATGCACTCAACATGTTCAGTATGCACTCAACATGTTCAGTATGCACTCAACATGTTCAGTATGCACTCAACATGTTCAGTATGCACTCAACATGTTCAGTATGCACTCAACATGTTCAGTATGCACTCAACATGTTCAGTATGCACTCAACATGTTCAGTATGCACTCAACATGTTCAGTATGCACTCAACATGTTCAGTATGCACTCAACATGTTCAGTATGCACTCAACATGTTCAGTATGCACTCAACATGTTCAGTATGCACTCAACATGTTCAGTATGCACTCAACATGTTCAGTATGCACTCAACATGTTCAGTATGCACTCAACATGTTCAGTATGCACTCAACATGTTCAGTATGCACTCAACATGTTCAGTATGCACTCAACATGTTCAGTATGCACTCAACATGTTCAGTATGCACTCAACATGTTCAGTATGCACTCAACATGTTCAGTATGCACTCAACATGTTCAGTATGCACTCAACATGTTCAGTATGCACTCAACATGTTCAGTATGCACTCAACATGTTCAGTATGCACTCAACATGTTCAGTATGCACTCAACATGTTCAGTATGCACTCAACATGTTCAGTATGCACTCAACATGTTCAGTATGCACTCAACATGTTCAGTATGCACTCAACATGTTCAGTATGCACTCAACATGTTCAGTATGCACTCAACATGTTCAGTATGCACTCAACATGTTCAGTATGCACTCAACATGTTCAGTATGCACTCAACATGTTCAGTATGCAGTCAACATGTTCAGTATGCACTCAACATGTTCAGTATGCACTCAACATGTTCAGTATGCACTCAACATGTTCAGTATGCACTCAACATGTTCAGTATGCACTCAACATGTTCAGTATGCACTCAACATGTTCAGTATGCACTCAACATGTTCAGTATGCACTCAACATGTTCAGTATGCACTCAACATGTTCAGTATGCACTCAACATGTTCAGTATGCACTCAACATGTTCAGTATGCACTCAACATGTTCAGTATGCACTCAACATGTTCAGTATGCACTCAACATGTTCAGTATGCACTCAACATGTTCAGTATGCACTCAACATGTTCAGTATGCACTCAACATGTTCAGTATGCACTCAACATGTTCAGTATGCACTCAACATGTTCAGTATGCAGTCAACATGTTCAGTATGCAGTCAACATGTTCAGTATGCACTCAACATGTTCAGTATGCACTCAACATGTTCAGTATGCACTCAACATGTTCAGTATGCACTCAACATGTTCAGTATGCACTCAACATGTTCAGTATGCAGTCAACATGTTCAGTATGCAGTCAACATGTTCAGTATGCACTCAACATGTTCAGTATGCACTCAACATGTTCAGTATGCACTCAACATGTTCAGTATGCACTCAACATGTTCAGTATGCACTCAACATGTTCAGTATGCAGTCAACATGTTCAGTATGCACTCAACATGTTCAGTATGCACTCAACATGTTCAGTATGCACTCAACATGTTCAGTATGCACTCAACATGTTCAGTATGCACTCAACATGTTCAGTATGCACTCAACATGTTCAGTATGCACTCAACATGTTCAGTATGCACTCAACATGTTCAGTATGCAGTCAACATGTTCAGTATGCACTCAACATGTTCAGTATGCACTCAACATGTTCAGTATGCACTCAACATGTTCAGTATGCACTCAACATGTTCAGTATGCACTCAACATGTTCAGTATGCACTCAACATGTTCAGTATGCACTCAACATGTTCAGTATGCACTCAACATGTTCAGTATGCACTCAACATGTTCAGTATGCACTCAACATGTTCAGTATGCACTCAACATGTTCAGTATGCACTCAACATGTTCAGTATGCGCTCAACATGTTCAGTATGCAGTCAACATGTTCAGTATGCACTCAACATGTTCAGTATGCACTCAACATGTTCAGTATGCACTCAACATGTTCAGTATGCACTCAACATGTTCAGTATGCACTCAACATGTTCAGTATGCACTCAACATGTTCAGTATGCACTCAACATGTTCAGTATGCACTCAACATGTTCAGTATGCACTCAACATGTTCAGTATGCACTCAACATGTTCAGTATGCACTCAACATGTTCAGTATGCACTCAACATGTTCAGTATGCACTCAACATGTTCAGTATGCACTCAACATGTTCAGTATGCACTCAACATGTTCAGTATGCACTCAACATGTTCAGTATGCACTCAACATGTTCAGTATGCAGCTCAACATGTTCAGTATGCACTCAACATGTTCAGTATGCACTCAACATGTTCAGTATGCACTCAACATGTTCAGTATGCACTCAACATGTTCAGTATGCACTCAACATGTTCAGTATGCACTCAACATGTTCAGTATGCACTCAACATGTTCAGTATGCACTCAACATGTTCAGTATGCACTCAACATGTTCAGTATGCACTCAACATGTTCAGTATGCACTCAACATGTTCAGTATGCACTCAACATGTTCAGTATGCACTCAACATGTTCAGTATGCACTCAACATGTTCAGTATGCACTCAACATGTTCAGTATGCACTCAACATGTTCAGTATGCACTCAACATGTTCAGTATGCACTCAACATGTTCAGTATGCACTCAACATGTTCAGTATGCAGTCAACATGTTCAGTATGCACTCAACATGTTCAGTATGCACTCAACATGTTCAGTATGCACTCAACATGTTCAGTATGCACTCAACATGTTCAGTATGCACTCAACATGTTCAGTATGCACTCAACATGTTCAGTATGCACTCAACATGTTCAGT